CCACTCTCACATCTACTGCTATGCACAATGTAGAAATTGTCAACAGCTACCAATAAAAGCTACAAAATGGTAATTCTAAGGCTTTTAATAGGTATTTTCAATAGGAATATCCTATGGAAAAGCTGACAGATCAATCATGGAAACTTATTCAACACTACTTGTGCCCTTGGTAGATGGGAGATTGCTAGGTGCAACGAAGAGGACAGAGAAAGTGATCCACTTTCTTCCAGGGAAGAATAGCAAATGCAAGGGGAGACAAAGATGTCTTACTACTTCAAGGAAAAGCGTTTTCCAAGGAAGGTCATATAGGCTATGCTGAGAGGTTTAGACCCTAGATCATGCAGTTGATTTGAAGTCAGTAAAATACAACAGTCATATATCAGATTTGCATCTACAAATGTCATTGTGATGAAAACAGAAGGGACTGATTGAAGGGCAAAACTAATTAAACTATCCTGGACCTAATTCCTGGCACGGCCATTAGCTGGCTGTGTGAACGAGGCCAAGTTACTTATTCTCACTCTAGTTTTGCCCCTCATCTGTAAAATGGAGTAGTAGTAAATATCCATGCAAGGGATTACTGTAAAAATTTATTGAGTTCCTATAAAGTCCTCACCATGGTGCCCATACAATGGAAATAACTAACACTGAATGCTCTAATGCCCCAAAAGAAAATGTAAGTGGGCCTTTGTGTTAGTCATTTTTTAAAATGAAATTAATTTCATGCAATTCTGTTCTTAAACAAAATTGTAAATTTATAAAAGTTATCAAATTAAAGGTAAATGCTTTTTATTAATGATTCTGTGTCGCTCCATGGAAAAGTTTGAGATTTCTTCCTGAGTGCTGTCTTCTAGACAAATGTAAGCATGGTTTCCTCCTGCAAAATGAATAATTAAGCTGGGTGTGGTGGTGTACTCCTGTAATTCCAAGCACTTGGGAGGTGGAGGCAGGAGGATTTCCAGTTATGACCCAGTCTGGTTACAAGGCAAGCCCCTGACTAAAAAATAAAGTAAAAAGGATAATTAAACATTAACTGAAGACCTAATTATTATTTTCCTTGGCTCTCAAGCTAGTGGGCTTATGAACTTCACAAGACAGACATTATTATTACCACTAAGCATAAACAAGAGCTGTAGTATTCGTATTCATTCAACCGCCAGTCCACTTCTGTGTATTTTCAGCTTTGTGCCTTATTTAGAAGTCAAATGATGTTTGCCCTGGGTGGTGCTGCCAGTGCATCTGCCCAGCTAAGTGGAAATCCAAAAGGCAGGGAAAGCAACAAAGAGGAGATGCTGTGTTTTCATGGAGACATGCTGTCACCATGTTAGGTCTCTGGGCAAGGAGTAAACATAACTCCCAGTCAGTAATTTGCTCTTCCACTTAGTCAAACTACAACAGACACCCTTTAATACCTTGCCCCTGTTGTGTGTAGTTTCCCCTGGGCGTTTCCTTACTCTTAAGAGAATTTTAAATACATACACATCCCTCCAGAATTTCACCAATAGTGAGTAACATGTTTCCCCTGGTCATATTCTGAGTTTCATGATGTGTACTCCAATTAACATTAATTTTTCACTCTTAAAATCAAAAGCACAAGATTTAATACCTTTTACATAGATCAGAATAAATATCATAAAGAGAAAATATCTACTTTATAGTGATTTAGGCTGACATTTTAAAAATATCCAAATGGCTTTTATTTTTTAAGTGCCTTCTATGACTTCCCCAGGCCCCCAATGCCTGTGAATACTTACTGAGAGAGGTTGGAACAGCTTTAAAAGAGGTTGCTAAAGAAAAAATTGCTGCAAATGAGTTGAGAAGCATTGGGATAACATTACATTTTTTAGGTGTAAGATTGCTTTGGTATCATTATCATCTTAGGCAGCAGCTGAAAGTACAGCAGTCCTGCCACACAGCAGGAAAACAGAGGCGTTTTTCACAGCACCACCTCAGGCAGGTACTCTGCTCATTGCAAGACACTTGAGAAGTTAAAAGAAGCCCTTAGAGGCAGTACACCTGGGTGACAGGATTTGACTCTCTGATGCTAGAACCTGCCCTCTTATCCAGTAAATGGAAAGGCAAATTTAATTCCAAAAGTGCCCCAAATTAAATCATCCACCCTGATTTTGTTTCAAAGACCTTATGTGTGAAAGTGCTCAAACCAAACCAAAATGACAAAAGCATAAGAAAACCATACACACAGAGAAAATCAATAAAATCAATTTATATTTAACAACCTCAAGGGCATAGTCAGGTATTCAAATCTTAATACTACTGTTTAGAGAAACTGAAAACATGCTTTCCTAATACCAATATTGTTTTCAATGTCCTTTCTTCCTTCCCTTTCTCTCTCCTTCATGTATCTGAGATTATCCAGTCAAAAAAAGGAACTTCTATTCTTATAATTTAAGAGGGTTTTTATTAAGACAATACTTCTAATTCCCCAGTTATTTTTATTTGGTAACTTTTACCTTTATATTTCTAATTTTAGATTTCCACACATTTCAAATGTGAAAAGCCTTGATAGATTGACTCTACTTAATTCTCAGTATTAGAAGTTTAAGAAAATGTCTAAATTACTACTTGGTTTTTGAGTTTCATTTGCTCCTTTAATTACTAATATTAAAATTTTCTAATGTCACTCATTTCTTCTGAGTGATTTTTGTGTTGATTATTTTTTTAAAAAACCATTCATGTGACTAGAAAAACAATCATGTGACTTAAACTATTCATGTGCTGAATAGAATGGCATTACAAACTGATCAATAAAGTTTAACTTTATAAACAGCGATAAAGATCAAAGCAACTTATTTTCATGATTTTGCAAGCCATGACATCAAAGAATTCACATTACAAACAAAACAGAAAGCTGATTAGTAGTTGTCATGGTCTGGGGAAGGAGGGAATGCAGCAGACTGCTTAATGAGCACAGATTTCCTGAGTGACAAAAAATGCTTGGAGGTGGATAATGGAGATGTTGCCCCGCATTGCATATGTCCTAAATGCTACTGTGGTGTACACAATAAAATGGCTAAAACGGAAAATATTAGGTTACATGTATTTTGCCACAATTTAAAAAAACAAATAAAAAAGCCAGTTAAAAGATAGTTTAAGATCGCTGTAACGTACAAGTAAATTTCTGGTCAAAGGTTAATACTTCATAATAATGATTGGGATAAAAATAATATGTCACTAATATAGCACATGTTAAGTGACATTTAACAAAATTTGACTGTTTGAAATATTAATTAGGACAATTACAATTTTGTTTCTTAGAAAACCAGAATGTCCCCAAGATACATTTAAAATAGTGTTATTGAAATGTTGTATTATCTGTAGTTAGGTAGTATTCAAAACTTTCAAATATTTTTTCACATCTTATGTAAAGGGGAGATTACCCCTTCATGTTTGATTATGATGACTACATATGTTTTGGAATTCCACAATTTAAGAGTACATATCAAAATTCCACTGGTCTTTTGGAAAGCCAGGACATGCACCTCTGGAGTTAACGGGGTAGGCATGTACAAAGGCAGTCCAGAGAATCAGTGTTCTCAGAGCACTTTACTTCTCTGGCCAGAAGTAAACATTGAAAACTCTTTCTCCATCCCAGACATTGTCACATCCGAGATGTACTGCTAATGGCTTCAAACATTTAATATTATCAGCAAAAGGTAAGAATGAAGTTAAAACCATCAAATACTTCTGATGGGAATGGGAATTGTCACACTCTTTCCAGAGATACTAAGCCAGGCCATGAGGAGGTTGCAGCAAGATCTAAGTCCAAGCAGAAGCAGCAGGTTCAAAGGGTGCACAATCATCTTCTCAGACTCCCTTCTCTCCTCACCTCATGGTCAATTCTCTCCTATCTCAGTACTTTCAGTACTTAGCTCTAACTTCATTAATTTTATAAACTAAAAATTCTCTTCATTTTCATATATTTTTCATTCTCAAATAGACTAAGATCCTTAAAGAGAGTTACACCATCCCAGTGCTCAGCATGCAGAAGGCTTCCAATAAACCCTTTCTATGTTTATAATCCTAAATTCTTTTTTTTTTACATTCATGATCTTTATTATGTTTTTCAAGTGTATACAATTTTTAATGTATACCAATTATACCTCTATAAATCTGAATTTAAAGAAATTAAGTCAATACTTTACATATATTAAAGAATTCTAACTCATAATTAAAAACCAACCAAAACCAATGGAATTAGGCCCAGATGGGAATTCCTGATTATCATGCATGGCAGCCCTAATCCTCCTTTTTCCTTGTCATTTGGAGCTTCTCATGAGCCAATTAGGGGCTTTTTGTGAGCCAACTTTATTGTTCTATTTTTGTGTCTGCATTTTCCATATCTAAACTTTAAACTCCTTTCTTTTCAGATAATTCATAGATGTATCTTTAGTCCTTCAATATCCTCTCACACTGCTAAAGGGCATAGAAAGTGCCGGACCCACATATATAAACTATTTTGTGCACCTGCTTCAGTGAATTCCACCATGATGTATCCATATCTACCCACTGTACAGCACACTGTATTCTCTCTGAAAGGCTAGTTTCGATGTTAATGCCTCTGAAAAGACATCCCTAATCTCTACTCTACCTCTCATTTACATGTTTTGGTTCCCTAGCCTCTGTGTACTGAGCACTCAGAGGCCATCGTTCACAGGTAGAGTATTAAGGAACTTAGGATACATAATTATGTATTGATCTATTTCCCTTCTTACTCTGTCGCTTTCTTTAAGGAAGGAAATTTGTTACTTTCATTTTTTGGATTTCATTGGCAGTAGAACTGTCAATAAGTTTTTTTTTTTTTTTTAAAGATGAAGCTAAAAAAATGAAATGTTACAGTTTTGATGTGTTCCCAAAATTCATGCATTAGAAATATAATACTCAATGCAACAGTGTTGGGAGGTGGGCCTAACAGGAGGTGTTTAGAATTAATGCCATTAAAAAAATGGCTTGAGACTGTGAGTTCCCACACTTGCCCTCACCTTCTGCCAGGTGAGGATGCAGCAAGAAGGGCCTCATCAAATGCTGGCATCTTGATCTTGGACTTAGCCTCCAGACTGTGATAAATAACTTCCTGTACTTTATAAATAATACAGTCTATAGTACTGTGATAGCAGCAAAACAAGCTAAGACAGAAAGGTACTCTGGACATCCACAAGAAACTTCTAGAGAACTCCATGGATGAACAGAAGTAGTCAAATATTTAGAGTTGGATTTTGTTTTTCTTCTTTTTTCTTTTTTTAAAGAAAAACAATAGACAAAGCCCTTGATAAGCCAAAGCTGAACATAACTCTCAGCAGGAGTTAATACAAGAAGTTACACCAAACATTGTCATAGGAGTTAGGAGGTCAAAAAAATGAGAAACAATGTGACTACTGGTAGTTGCTATAGTAACAAATAATAAACTTTGTACAGATATTCCAGTCATCATCTAACTATTCTTTCTAGTTGCTGAGGGGAGTGGAGGGGAGTTTCAGAGGTGGTTCAGTCTATAAAAGGAAGAAAAAAGAACAAAAAGACATCTGAGGCCTTTTCCCAAGGAAAAAAAATAGGAACATGATTTAGGAATATGAGATACAACTGATGTCTTCATTAATATGAAACAGATAGCTGGAGGAAATCCTGCCCCCATGGCCAAAAGAGGGGGACGGTTACCTCAGGTAGTTATAAACCACGTAGTTGAAGGTGATTAGGGCATTGAAATGAATCAGTAACACTGAAAAGTACAATGAATCTAATTTTTAGATATGTTGTAGTAAGTTCAAGTCACAGTTTAATTGTAAACATATTTCCTCTAAAAGTTGACTGCTGCATAGAGAAATGAATCAAGAACATGGATCAAGGAGCAGTGTGAAGAGGAGGAGAGAACAACCCTCTGATCGACCAAAGGCACCTGCAACTGCATCCCTGCGTTCAGCAACTACGTCCCCCCACCCCACCCCGCCACTGCCACCACCATGCCCAAGGGAAAGGCTGAAGGCAATGCTAAAGGAGATAAAGCCAAGGTGAAGGACAAGCCACAGAGAAAATTTGCAAGTTTGTCTGCTAATCCTGCTCCTCCAAAGCCATAGCCCAAGCCTAAAAAGGCCCCTGCAAAGAAAGGAGGAAAAGGTTCCTAAAGGGAAAAGGGGAAAAACTGATACTGGAAAGGATGGAAATAACTCTGCAGAAAATAGAGATGCCAAAACAGACCAGGCACAGAAAGCTGAAGGTTCTGGAGATACCAAAGTGAAGTGTGTGCATTTTTGATAATTGTACTTCTGGTGACTATTCAGTTTGAAATACTATTTTTATCAAGTTTTATAAAAATGCAGGATTTTGTTTCACTTTTTTTTTAAGCTATGTTGTTAGCACATAGAATACTTTATTGCTTTGGGGAGAAGGAACATGTGTCACTAATTGAATGTCCCCAACGCTGGACCAACGTAGGGTTTTTGAAAACATCCTTCCCTGCTAGTTTTGACACACCCTCCTGGCCCTCAGCAGGAGGAATTCCCTGGCATTGACACATAATAGCCAGTTACCTTGACACAAATGCCCCTTAATGTGGGAAGACTCAAATTCATTTTTATGTCCTCCTCTCTCTCCATCATCAGCATAGACTTAACTCTCTTAAAACCAGAGGCCTGTTGGAACCTGACCCACCAAAAATGGTTTTGCCAGTATGTCAGGCAATCTGGACTTTTCAGTGACATCACTGAAATGATGGTCCCCAAAGACCAGTGGTTCCTTTTCTAGATTGTGGATCTTCAGATTGATAATTCTGCCATTTTCACTTCATTTCCTGAAAGAGTCAGCTCATAAGAAGTTGTTAAACAACATGTTTAATGTGAAATGTCAACTCTCACTCTAAACTTCCCTGGTCAGAGCTTCAAATGAAGACATCATTGGGTTTTACAGTGGCTTTCTGATTTTGATAGCCCATCCAAGAAGGGAGTTTGAAAGTTGTTGTATACTGTTTAAAGATTGCCTGCCTATGTCCTTCCTGGATACAGTTTGGCTTGGAAAAAAAAAAAAAGAACACAGATCAGAATTTCGGAAATCTAGAAGGCTTTTCCTATGCTATGTCTAGACTGGAGTCTTTTCTCTTAATTTTTTTTTTTTTTTGGCAGTACTAGAAATTAAATTCAGGGCCTCATGCTTTCTAGACAAGTGCTCTACCACTTGAGCCAAGCCCACAGTAAATCAGAATTTTGTTGTTGTTGTTGTTACTGGGATTTTGAACTCAGGGCCTTCTGTTTGCTAGGCAGGGACTCTACCATTTGAGACATGCCTCCAATCTGATGGAGTCTTTTTTGACAGCCTGTATTCCATAAGGTAATTTTATACACCTAAACTTCAATGCATCTTGCTAGATAGGGACAGGCACTAAAACATGCAGTACTGCCACAAATACAAAATAATATGCTTACAACGCATCTTAAAGGTCAAGCCAAAAATGACAGAATGTAACTGGAGAGGGATGAAGACAAACCACCTGGAGATTAGGGTTGGCATATTCTATGGAAAATAGAATTTAGATGTTGAAGGGGACTGAGACCTTCTTGAAAATCGGGCACATGGCAGATGAACAAAGACATGGCTGGGAAAAGAGGAAAAAGCTAGTTTCTGGGGTGATCCAGGAGGAGTACTCAAGCAATAGTGACAATACTTAAAAAAAAAAAAAAAACCTCAAAACATACCATCCAGAGCCTGAGTTCACGATATGTAATCACTGCCCACAGTGATTTAAGGGTCACTTTCTCAGGCTTTTTCTCACCAGCCCCTACTCATACCCCTTTCTAAAGATTTCCATTGTGCTTCACGAACCACTATCAATTCCCAAAAAGCTTAACCCAGCATTCTTAACATTTCCTGCAGACTCCCCTACCTTCTACCTTGTCTCGATATGTCTTGCCCTTTCCTCAATTATGCCGTCTCCATCACACACTCCTCAAGCTGAAATGTGTTGATGCTCCCATTGCCTCTGCAGATCAGGGAAAGGGGACAGACTTGGCATTTTCCTGAATCCCATCTGCTCTTTCCACACTAATGAGACTCAAGTTCATTAACGATCACCTCTCCTCCTCTGAGCGTCTTACCAACCAGGTATATTGCCAAATTGTTCATGTTAATCACTTAGCTCCAAGTGGTTATCTAAGAAACACTGAGGAACTGGACATCTGGATCATGGAAAATTTATCCTTCTTTATTGCTATCATCACTCTGAAAATGTCAGTGCCTGTATTGATAGCCCATTCAACCTCATACCTAGTTCACTGGCCTCTTCATATTATGTCTTCCATTACCACAAGGACTTTGTCCTTCCTGAAACATCTCCCATCAGAAATATAAAACTTACCAAGTATTATGATTTTAGTTAATACTATGCTTACTGTACATATAATTCTTTTTGGGGTACTGGGCCTTGAACTCAGGGCCTACACCTTGAGCCACTCCACCAGCCCTTTTTTGTACTGTGTTTTTTCGAGGTAGGGTCTTGTAAACTATTTGCCTGGATTGACTTCAAACTTCAATACTCCTGATCTCTGCCTCCTGCATAGCTAGGATTATAGGTGTGAACCACCAGTGCCTGGCTGTATATATAAAATTTGACAAGAGGGGAGATCTCTCTCTTTCTCTCTCTCTCTCTCACACACACACACACACAATGGTAACTATGAGAGATGACAGATATGTTGATTACATGATCATGGTGATACAGGTTCAGTATCTGTTATTGAAAATACTTGGGACTAGAGTATTTCAGAATGGAATTTTTCAGATTTTAAAATATATTCACAGACTTTATGAGATAAGCAACTCTAATTCAAACATCTGCAATTCATAATGCTTCAAAATTGTTTAGTGCCATGTCAGCACTCAAAAAGTTTAGGCTTCTGGAACATTACAAATTACATATTTTCAGATTACAAGATCATCAAGCTGTAATTTAGCAATGTAAACATCAAATCATCAGATTAAAAAAACTTAAATATATATAATTTTTTTGGCCAGGTATACCTCGATAAAGCTAGAAATTTGCCTCCCCTCCAAATCATCAAACTTTAATACCCACCCTTTGAATATAATTCCTTATACATTTTCCATTCCTAAATCCTTTGTTTTTGTAACCCCAAACATCCAAATAACTACATTAGCATCACTTATGCTCCATCATGGACTATTTGGCACATCATCTCAGCTACCTTTTCACCTACAACTTTAATTACTGCATGCATTAAATAACTATAACAAAGTAACTGAGAACTTGACTTATAAGGGGCAAAGGAGTTTTTTTGTTTTCTTTTTTTGCTTATGGTTTCAGATGTTTCATTCCATGGTCACTTAGGTTTATTGCTTTGGGCCTATGGTGAAATCATGTCAGAAATGTCTGGCTGGGCGCTAGTGGCTCATGCCTGTAATCCTAGCTACTCAGGAGGCAGAGATCAGGAGGATCACAGTTCAAAACCCAGCCCAGGCAAACAGTTCAGGAGACCCTATCTCAAAAATACCCATCACACAAAAGGGCTAGCAGAATGGCTCAAGAAGAGTTCAAGCCCCAGTACCACAAAAAAATAAATACATAAATGCATGGTGGAGCTCATGGCAGCTGAGAGGTACTGGTGGGGGGAGGGAGAAGAGAGAGAAAAAGACAGAGGGAGGTTGGGGTCCCAGTATTCCCTCCAAAGGTATCTCCCTAAGGACCTAACTTCCTTCCACTAATCCCCACCTCCTAAAGATTCTACCACTTCCCAGTATCACCACAGGAGACTAAGCCTTCAATAACTGGGTCTTTGGATAACATTCAAGATCTAAACGTTAGCATTGGACATCCTTGATCTTCAGCTTATATGGCTCTTAAAACCACAACCTGGAATAACCATAATAATACCCTCACCACTTCCATAAATCTTTTTTTAAAACTTTTTTATTAGTATATAATAGTTATAAAGGGGTTCCCCTTTTGTTATGACATTTCCACGTATACATATATAAGTCTTCTAAGTAGAATAAACCCTGCAAAATTTTCCCATTATTGATTTCATATCA